ATCTCGAAACAGGATGTGTGGAGTCTGGATCGTGAAGAAACAGCATCTATGCAGCTTCTTCAAAGGGAGCCCTCCTCTTGTGCGCCTTACTGCTTCTCTTTTGCAAGTGGCTTTTAAAGCACATGTGACTTGAAAAAAAAAAAACTTTCAGTGGCCTTTCAAGGCTCTTAAAGTGCCAAAGCATTCTTGTTCTTGCCGGCCTCGACCGTTGCTCCGTGCGGTCGGGCTGGGGAGGAGGAGAGGGGACTGTTGTGACGGGATGTAGAGGAGGAGAAATGGAATCAGGTGGCTGGTCCTGTCCGCAACACTGCAGGCACCATTCCCGTGCTCGGAGCACCCCCGTCGCATTTGTAATGGGAGACGCCTCTGCGCTTTCAGGAACTCTGCTCCCGTGGGAGTCAGCTGAAGGGCCAGCGGCCTCTTTAATGAGCAGCATCCGGGGGTGTAGCCCGCTGGTGTTTGAGGCTGGTGCTTCAGTTGTCCCATTTCTTGACGCTGTGTTTTTCTCAGTGCCAGGTCCCTCTGATTTAATCCCTGCATATTGGCTGTTTCTAAACATTCTCACCTTATGGGCAGGCATCCTTTCATCTCTCTTCGTGTGTAGAATCTGAGGTCGTCTCTTTATACCAAGGTCATCCCCGAGTGGACAAGAGCGTGCTTTTGGTGCGATATCCCCTCTCTTATTTGAGGTTTTTTTAGCATTTAAAATTAAATCATTTGAGGGGACAAGAGCGTGCTTTTGGTGCAATATCCCCTCTCTTATTTGAGGTTTTTTTTAGCATTTAAAATTAAATCTATCTCACAGAGTAAAACCCAGTCCCTGCCCTGTTTTCAAAAGATTAAAAGAAAGAAGTGCTAAAATGGGGGAGGAGTGTTTGGATTACTTTTTCTTAGGAATTATTTTGTATCTGATTTTGGTGATGTAGCCGGTGTTTCCTCTTACATACTGCTGTATTTCATTCAGTAGATAGAATTAAATTCACATTCCCCCTCAGTGAGTGATCTTTCACAATCAACACTTGTAACTTCAATAAACCCCAAGTTCTCAACAGAGCCGGCCATCTTTGTTTCTGAGCACTAGAAGTAGGAGGGTCTGGCGAAAGAAATCCAGGCGCCTCAGGGCTGGCCATGGGGGGTGGGATCCTGCAAGGGGGGGAGAGTTAGCCAGAGAACCTCAATAAGTAAATTAATTTGATGCTTGTTTGCCAGCCTGCTTGTCCTCTTGATAATCTCAGGAGCTGTTGAACTCTAGGCATAAGGATTTGGGCCTTAACTGCTTTTGACCACTGATCTGCATATTTCACTTAGAAACCTGCATTCTGAGCTGCTTCCACTTTGCTGTTTTCTACCCAGGCAGCTCATGGAAAGATCCCAGGACAAAGGCAGTCCTTCAGACTAGCTTTTAGCTCCCTTTGAGAAAGACATTGTGTGGAATGCTCCTCCTGATCCCCTTCAGATTATGGACAGTCTCGAGGTTGCTAATCTCTTCCTTGTTCCTTAATTATCCTCAAACCTGGGGAAAAATCCTGCTCTCTCACTTCGACCCTATGTTTATTCACTCAAGTGCTGTGTTCCTCAACATTTATTTCTTCTGCCTCTGCAGCCCTTGGCCTGTATGGTGCAAATTAATCGTCCTCCATAGTGTGTGAATCAATGCAGTGAGTTAAGCAGTTGTTAAACACAAGTAAAACTTTGGAGAGCCTTTGGTGTTGCGATGGACTCTTTATTCTCACGCCATCTTACGCTGCAGCAGCTTAAGCTCAATCTAGCAAATGTCTGATGGGAGGAGGGCAGCTTGGTTTTTGCAGTGGGGTACCAGTCTTGGGCTCAGCTGGT